GTTGAACCATATTGTGTAATGTTTGAAGGTGAAGTTATTAGCCTAGACGATTCATATCAAATCGATGTACATCATGTCTTTCACTGCGACGGTTTATTGTTATGCGTTATGAAAGAAGAAACTAGGATCGTGGTTTGGAACCCGTATACCGGGCAAACCCGGTGGATACATACTTTAAACAAAGCACAAATTTATAAGTATGCTCTTGGATACGAGAAGAGCAGCGAATCTTGCCTCCGCAGTTACAAAATCTTGAGGTTTATCGATTTTGGTTACCCCGATATCGCTGAGTACCAACTCTACTGCTTTAACTCTGATTCTTGGAAGGTTCTTGATGTCAATTCAAACCGGTATGTAGATAAACCGTCTTATTATCGTGGCGTATCTCTAGACGGAAACACTTATTGGTTTGCTACAAACTTTCCTTCATATAAGAAAGGAGGGTTCCTACTCTGTTTTGATTTGACAAAAGAGAAATTTGCGCCGCGCCTCCCTCTCCCTTTTGACTGTACTTATAAAGATACGGTGACTCTCTCTAGTGTTAGAGAATAGCAACTTGCGGTGTTGATTCAGCAACGGGACACATTATACATGGAAATATGGGTTACAACAAAAATTGAACCCAACGCGGTGTCCTGGGGCAGCAAGGTGTTCTTAGAATTGGATATGAGCCCATTCACTGACGTTCAGCTTTCGGTTACGGGTGCGAGTTTCTTCATTAACAGAGAGGAGAAAGTTGCTGTGATTTTCGACCAACATACTGCAGATTCGGACTCGGAGGAGAACTATACTCGCAATGTAGCTTACGTCGTTGGAATGGATGGATCTATGGATGTAGCGGATCTCGGAGAATCTGCATACCAACATTGTTATCCACTTGTGTGCTCTTATGTTCCAAGTTTTGTACAACTTAATTAGTCTAATATTACAATACCTATAATCTATTTATTTGTCTTGTATTATTTGAACAAGATTATTAGTCAACATAATGTTCATCATGTTCGTGACTTGGTCAGCTTTGGGTTGCTTAAATAGTTTTCTTTGTTCTCTTGTAGACGATTCATGGCAAAAGTTTCGTTAGGTGCATTTCTTCTTTTTCATATAGACGAATCTATTGTAGAGACTTATGCAGATCTAGAGTAGATTGTGGTTAACTTCAAATTAAGCAAGCATGCTTGTATTTGAGTTTCACCTTTTTGTACTCTGAAAGATCCAAAACGCATATATCCTTGAACATACAATGCATAAATAGAGCATTCTTGTTTCTCTAATCTCACAAAATCATGTGTATATAATTCAAGTTTATTGAAGAACAAATTTAAACTAGATTAATTAGTTTTATGCTTCAACTAAAATATATGGTGCTTGAATTGAAGAGGAGTTACAATTGAAGCACATGAAACAACGTTCAATCTATTTTTTTAAAAGACATCCAATCTAAATTTATCATCAATTATTTATTTTCCAATTGCATATAACCGATTTCAAAAAATGTATTGCTACTAACAGATGACGATCCTCCATTTTGTCAATTTCATGTTAGTAATTTCAGAAGAAGAACAAATTCTATTTTTGAATCATGGATTTAATCGATTTGATTTCTGTATATTCAATTGTAATTTTGTGGTTTTCTATTGACATGAAGATGGTTGCAAATTGTAATTGGTGGTAAGCCAAAGCATACATCTTAGTCATTTCTAAACATCATGTTTTCTTTGATCCTTATCATACTTTACAGTATGTAATTTTTTACTTAATGTAACCCAAATTTTACCTTCTGTTATTTATTTGCAACTTGGATTGTAATTAGAGTTTTGGATATACAACTTTTCTTTAGTAACATAAATTCCTAGAAAAAAAAGTATACAAAATGGCAACAACAATTATAAGGCATAGACAAAAAGGACTATTAATCTGAATAGCTGTCTTGTTTGTAACCAGAATGAAGCATGTAAAATGCCTAAAAAGGTGAGAAAACAGTGTAAAAAAAAAAAGAGGAAGTCTTTATTTGAACTAAGGTTATCCACCTGAAAATACACAAC